CTCCCCCTTTCTTAACATTAAGTAGGAAAGAAAGGATAGAGGAACAAAAAAGAAAAAGAAGAAAAATTTCCCTGAATCTAAGCTCCTTTATTTTGATAGCTGCCTGGCCAAGACCATTAACAGCTTGCAAACAACCCACCTTAAATGATGACAAGCATTCATCACCCACTGAATGACCATAACAACCCATCCCACATTTTGGGAATCAGGCATTGTTCTCTTAAAATTGCTTCCTGCTGTCTGTGTACTGTTATGCCTGAATCGCACGACCCCAAAAGACCACCACCAGGAGTCGAGTCCATTGCAAAACACATGAGGATCTTTTTATTACAAGCTGCAGCTTTGGCCCACACTTCCACCGCCAAAGCGGTGAGAGGCAAGAGCCCCATGCTCGGGTTAGTTGGGTGATTTAAATATTCTGGTCCCTCCCAGCATGCCCAAAGCAGGGGCATTCAAGCCTGGTAAGCAACTATTGGTCAAGACACAAAAGGGATGTTGCATTTTGAATTGATTGGCTATAGGAAGGTTCCCAAACCATTAGTGGTCTCCCATCCCTTCCTATGGGGGTGGGCCAGTTTCCTAGCAACTGTATCTCTAGTGGGCAGGAAAAGAAGGCAGTAAGGCCAGTTCTTCCCCTCAGGGCATTAAGGATGGACATTTCTCCATTTGTCTAGCCTAAGTTCAGGTTTTTAAACTTTAAAATAATAGCCACTGATTTTTAATCCTTTGGTCTCTCAGTACAATATTCCCTTTTGGGAGCCCTAAGAAAATTGGGATAAATGGCACATCTTGAGAGAGCTAGCTTTATCAATTGTTGTTCGGATGGAAAGGTACAGGGCTTAACTACAATCCTGGCTGGAACTGCCTGTGATTCTGGATGATCTAGCTAGCTATATAGAAGCTTCTTTAGATGAAGATTTTTGAGGAAATACCTGTTGAAGCAATCTGTGGGGCTGAATCGCCTGGGCTACTTGGCTTTGTTGTCTGGGTCTTTTGCTCTGTAAACATATAACCTTTTAAAGGTAATACACATTTTTACATTAACACATGTATGGAATGTGTAGTGTGCAAACAGTTAAAGATGATTCTCTGCTCTTTATTTGAGCAGGTAAAATGCATCTTTCTTTCTTTATATGTTAGTTTGAACACTATAACTAAACTGTATTATAAATGTCCATCCATGCCATATGAAGGGATGCCATGATAAGTCCTGAGGACTCTGTAGCCACCAAGATTTATTGCTATGCAAAGCCATGGTCTCATGCTTCAGCCAGTCTCAGAGCTGTTCCCATGAAGGGGGATCAGCAATTTATGTTTCCTGTTTTGTTGTTTTTCTTAGTTTCTTCATATCTACAGCCTAGATCTTCAGGAGATCTCTCCTGAAAAAAAATCTAATCTTTATTAATTTTTAAGGAATCTATAGCTTTTCTTCTTCTGTTGAAACAAAAACAAAACCTCTCCCACTACATAACACATTTGCTGACTCCCATTCTGGTGCTAGCACATATACAGGATGATCTAATTCAAAATCCAGTGTTTTTCAGCAGTTGTGCTTAGCTGTCTCATTTGACATTTAGAAAGTTTCATTTCCATAGAGCGTAATATCCTCTTTCTGCTCTTTGAGCATTTTCTTTAGAGTCCTGTTAGATTTCTCCATAATTGATTGTTCTGTAGGAATGTAATATATTCTGTTTGTAGGTGGGTTGGTGTTCCCCACCCGCCACTAAGGAGTCCTGTCTAGTTAGAGCATGGCCTCTTCATTCTCCATGATCCCTGCTACTAGATTCACCCCTGTATCCTCCTTGGAGCCTATCCTGTTGTAGGTCTCCAGCTTGTCTCAGAAATGCCCCCTCCCACAGTTTCTCTTCTCTCTGCAAGCTCCCTTCCTGCCCAAGCTCTCCCATATCCACTCCTCACCCTTGTTTCCCTCTGCACAGAATAAGAGAGATTATTCTGTTCTGTCTCTTCAACTATTTTTGATGCCTATTCTATTTCCCCTTCTGGGTGAAATTAAAACATCCTTTCTTGGGCCCTCCTTCATACTTAGTTTCTTTGGGTCTGTGAACTATAGTATGGTTATACTCTTCTATGTGACTAATATCCTCTTATAAGTGAGTACATACCATGTGTGTCTTTTGGGGTCTGGATTTCCTTACTCAGGATGGTCTTTTCTAGTTCTATCCATTTGCCTGCAAATTTCATGATTTCCTTCTTTTTAATAAGTGTGTAATATTCCATTGTGTATATGTATCAATTTTCTTTATGCATTCTTCAGTTGAGGGACATCTGGGTTGTTGCCAGTTTCTGGCTATTATGAATGAAGCTGCTATGAACATAATTGAGCAAATGTCCTTGTATCTTAGAGCATCTTTGGGGTATATGGGCAGGAGTAGTATGGCTGGGTCTTGAGGTAGAACATTTTCCAATTTTTTAAGAAATCTCCAGATTGATTTCCAAAATGATTTATACTTCTAGCAGCAATGGAAGAGTGTTCTTTTTTCTCCCCATCCTCAACAGCATGTGTTGTCACTTGAGTTTTTTATCTAAGTCAGTCTTATGGGTATAAGATGGACTCTCAGAGTGATTTTGATTTCCATTTCTTGATTTGCATTTCTCTGCATGGTACTGGCATAGAACAGACTGGTTGATCAATGAAATTGAATTGAAGACCCAAAAATAAACGCACAGACCTACAGACACCTTATTTTTGACAAAGAAGGCAAAACCATACAATGGAAAGAAGACAGCATCTTCAACAAATGGGTGCTGGTCTAACTGGATGTGTACATGTAGAAAAATACAAATAGATTCATATTTATCACCCTGTACAAAACTCAGGTCCAAGTGGGTCAAAGAACTCAACATAAAATCATAAACACTAAATCTATTAAAAGAAGAGAAAATAGGAATAAGCCTTGAACTCATTGGTACAGGAGACAACTTCCTGAACAGAACACCAACAGCTCAGGCTCCAAGGTCAACAATTAATGAATGTTACCTCATGAAACCGATAAGCTTTTGTAAGGCAAAGAACACTGTTAACAGAACAAAACAGCAGCCTACAGTTTAGGAAAAGATCTTCACCAACCGTACATCTGACAAAGGACTAATATCTTCAAAATACATAAAGAATTCCAGAAAGCAAACACCAAGAAACCAAACAATCCAATTTAAAAATCGGGTACAGAGCTAAACAGAGCATTCTTAATAGAGGAATCTTGAATGGCTGAGAGGCACTTAAAGAAATGCTCAGTGTCATTAGTCATCAGACTCCAATCAAAATGACTCCATCTTCAAAAAGCCAAGCCTGGGCCTCTGCTGCAGTTGCTGAGTTATGGAGCCTGAATTCAGCCTCTTTGTCCCAGCTGCCAGGGGAAGAGTAGCCTTTCCCATCACACAGCAGTCTAGGGTGTGTACCTCCCCTATCCCTGGCCCCTCCTCCGACCCTTTTCCTCAACTGCACAAAGCTTGGGAAAAATCACTGCTCTTAGCACAAGCTGAAGCCAGTCCCCTGTACTGGATAGCATGAGGTTGGTTTCTCTCTCTCTCTCTCTCTCTCTCTCTCTCTCTCTCTCTCTTTCTCTCTCTCTCTCTCTCTCTGTCTCTGTCTCTCTCTCAGATCCTATGCTTGGATTTCTAGCCAAACTTTGAGTACCAAGTGTAGAAAGAAAAATAAGTTTTTTTATAAGCCCATTGAAGCTCCCAAATGATTACATATAAAACTATTAGATTTTTTTAATAATTTATTTACTTTTATTTTATGTGAATTAGTGTAAAGATGTCAGATCTCTGAAGTTACAGACAGATGTGAGCTGCCATGTGGGTGCTAGGAATTGAACCCAAGTCCTTTGGAAGAGCAGACAGTGCTCTTAACCACTGAGCCATCTCTCCAGCCCACTATTAGATTTATTAATAAGCTTTAAAACACTATAGCTGGGCTGGTATTCATCTATTCTAACATAACATACTTGCCTTGCTACTTGCTACCCACGTGCCCCATGTTACTTGCCATCGTAGTCTTGTCTTGGCTGCTTTGCTCCATCAGTCTGTCTTCATGGTGAAGTCCTTATGGTGACCGCCTCCTCTTTTTCCTCAGCTTTCTCCCTGGGATAGGAAGTTCAGCCCTAAAGATTCTGCCCAGCTATTGGCTGTTCAGCTATTTATTAGCCAATCAGAGATGATGGAGAGCAATTTTGACACAACATTGAGCCAGGAGATTCTTCATAGAAATAACAACACAGACTTCTGGACTGCAACCAGATTTCTGGACACAGAAATCAGCATCTGAATACACAGAGCACAAGACCATCCCCAAAACGTTGGCACCCATCTGTAACACTTAGTCCCAGTCTCTCCAGTAGTACATGATCATCTGTGCTGTGACGCAGGGTGCCACACTAGATGTGTTGGTGGGAGACATCCTGACCCAGGACACTACACTCTCCTCCCTTTCTACCAATGTAAGACTAGAAACCAGGGGAGTTGGTGGACACTATGCTTTTCACTTGTCTAGTGTGACAATTTGATAGATTTTACTTTTTACACTATCAAAATAAAATTCATTATGTAGTAATCACTATCCATAGTTACAACTTTGTGTGCAAATGATAAACATTATAAAGGTAGTTATGATTTTTCGTCCTAATCACAGTATTCTCATTGTAGTACTTAACTATAATTATCTCACTGAACCTTAGATCAGAATATCATATACAGGCGAAGCTTCAATTTTTGAACCTTTGCCCAGTACGTTAATCAATGCAGCCAACCGTGAATGTCCTGAAATACAAGTGTCTTATTTCATTGATGTTAGGAATCTTTGTTGTTGAAATTTAATTATCACACCAAACATGTTTTAACATCATTTGCCGTTCAATATAAACTAATTCAATGTGGTGCTTTTATACAGATTTTAAAAACAGTTGGATAAATAATGTTCAAAAGCTGAGTGTCTCTAGATTTATGTATTATTTAATGAACTTTGGTAATTGTTTTTTCAGTTGCATGTGTAATACCAGAAGAAACTATGAGAAAACATAACATAGTTCTCAAATGGAGAGCAAATGAAAAGATATATTCCAAATCAGGAGAGGCTGTTGAATTTGACTGTCAACGTGGCTATAAACCAGCAAGACGATCACGTGCTTTTCGTACAACGTGTATTGATGGTCACATCAATTACCCAACTTGTGTAAAATAACAATGTAATTATTGCTACACTTTATGGATGAACCTTTGTTTGGTAATGGGCATACATAATAGTAATAGAGTTTTAATTTACATTTGAAGTATTGTTTAATTTCTTCTCATAAGTATAAACTTTTGTTTATGTGATGATTAATTTTGAACCTGAAAGGCTGTTACCACAAATGCAAAACCAGGGTATTCAAAAGTTCTAATCCAAAATGTGATGTGTCCTAGCACAAACATCAGTGGCAAAAAGACATGTAACTTCTTCAGTGTCTGTTTCTATCCAGCACAATCTCAAATCTTCATGGATACCTTTTGATCTAAGGTTCTGATTCACAGTAAGTGGAAGAAACATTGTTTCAGTCTTCAAACTATTTTGATTTGACAAATATGTAACAGCAAAAATGTCATATTTAACATTACTAATGAATGTAAATAATTACTACATACTACCTTTTATCAATAAACAAATTTAAGAAACTTTTCGCATATGAGCTTCTAAACAGTAATTTGGTACATTGAAATATTTATGCAGTTATACAGTGGGATTTAAATTTTAACTTGGAACACTATTCCATCACTGTCATAATATTGACATTAAAAGCTATAAATATTCTGTATCACTTAGGGCCTTAGGGTTTTATTGCTGTGAAGAGACACCATGACCAAGGCAACTCTTATAAAGAAATACATTTAATTGAGGCTTGCTTACAATTTGAGAGGTTTGGTCTGTTACCATCAAAGTGGGAAGCATGGCAGCATCCAGGCAGACACGATGCTGGAGAAGAAGATGAGAGAACTGCATCTTGACCTGCAAGCAGCCGAAGACTGTGTGCCACACTGGGACTAGCTTGAGCATAGGAGCCTTCAAACCCTGTCCTACAGTGACACACTTCACCCAACAAGGCCACACCTGCTCTAACAAAGCCACACCTCCTAATAGTGACACTGCCTATGGCCAAACATTAAAACACATTAGTCTATGGGGGCTGTATCTATTCAAATCACCACAAGCACATATTTTTCCCAAATTAATAAAAAAGTAAATATAATAATAATTATAGTCAATTTTATAAAAGTGTATTTGTCTTTAGAGTTAATAGTAGAGTAGCTATTTATTTTTTAATGTTTCTTTTATTTAAAATTTTTTATTTTATTTAAGTTTATTTACTTTACATCCCAAGGGTGCCCCTTCTCTCTTCCCAGTGTCCCCTTCCCCCCTTCTTCTCCTTTCCCTTTTCCATTCTCCCCAGAAATGGATAGCCCGCTGCTCCTTCTACCTTATCATCCTGCCCCAGCACATCAAGTCACATCAGGACTGAGCATCTCCTGAGGTCAGGCCAGGCAGTCCTGCTAGGGGGAAGTGGCCCCCAAACAGGCAATAAAGTAGATGTTAAGAACAACCCCACCCCCCTCCACTTGACAAGTGACCCACATAAAGACCAAGCTACTTAATTGGCCACATATGTGCAGGAGGCCTAGGTCCAGACAATGCATGCTCCTTAGTTGATGTCTCAGTCTCTGTAAGCCCCTGTGGAGCTGGGATAGTTATCTCTGCTGGTATTTTTTGTGAGGTTCCTGTTCCCTCCAGGTTCTTCCATCTTTCCTCCAACACTTCCACAGGACCTCTGGAGCTCTGCCCCATGCTTAGCTGCCAGTCTCAGCATCTGTCTAGATCCTCTGATGGATGGAGCCTCCCGGATTACAGTCATGTGAAGTTCCTGTCTGCAAGCATGGCAGAGCATCATTAATAGTGTCTGGGGCTGGCTCTCTACAGTGGGGTGGATCTCAAGTGAGGTCAATCTTTTAGTGGACATTCACTAAATCTCTATTCCTTCTCTATCCCTGCACTTCTTGCAGGCAGGGTAATTTTTTGGATCAAAGGTTTTGTGAGTGAGTTGTTGTTCCCCTCCCTCCACTAGTCCTGCCTGGCTAAGAGGTGGTCACTTCAGTCTTCATGTCCCTCTTGCCACCCTGTCACAGTCCTCCAGCTTGTCAAAGAGATACCCCCCTCAGTTTCCCTTCTTGTTCCCAACACTCTCGATTCCCACCCCATTTTCCCCACATCTTATTACCACCTTTGTTTCCTTCCCCATTCTATCTTCTACACAGTTCCCTCTCTTCATCCACTTCTGTCCATTCTAGTTCCCCTTCTGAGTAACATTCTAGCACCTTCCCTGGGGCACTCCTGTTCCTAACTTTTTATGGATTGCAACCTTCTGTGGATTGTACTATGGTTATCCTGTACTACAAGTCTAATATCCACTTCTAAGTGAGTATATACCATGTGTGTCTTTCTGGGTCTGGATTATCTCCCTCAGGATGATCTTTTCTAGTTCTATTCATTTGCCTGCCAATTTCATGATTTCCTTACTTTTAGTAGCTGAGTAATATTCCACTGTGTAAATGTGCCACAGTTTCTTTATCCATTCCTCAACTGAGGGACATCTAGGTTGTTTCCAGTTTCTAGCTAATATGAATAAAGCCACTGTGAACATAGTTGAGCAAATGACCTTGTTTTATGGTGGAGCATCTTTTGGGTATATGCCCATGAGTGGTATAGCTGGGTCTTGAGGTAGCACTATTCCTAGTTTTCTGATAAAGCTCCAGATTGCTTTCCAGAGAAGATGTACAAGTTTGCACTTCCACCATCAATGGAGGAATGTTCCCCTTTCTCCACATCCTTGCCAGCACATGTTGTCACGTTTTGATCTTAGCTATTCTGACTAGTGTAAGATGGAATCTCAGAATCGTTTTTTTTTTCTTTTAATTTTATTTTTCTTTTTAGTTACATTTTGTTAACTCTGTGTCCCAGCTGTATCCCGCTCCCTCATTCCCTCCCCAACCCCGCACTCCCTCCCTGGTCTCCTCCCTGCCCCTTTCCAAGTCTACTGATAGGGGAGGACCTCCTCCCCTTTCATTTGACCCTGTTTTATCAGGTATCTTCAGGGCTGGCTGCAAAGTCCTCCTCTGTGGCCTAACAGACTGCTCCTCCCCTGGGGGGGGGGGGGGGGGCAAACAGCCTGCCCTTGAGATCCTGTTAGAAATAGTCCGTGTTCCCCTTACTTTGGAAAACTACTTGGTTACTGAGCTACCACGGGCCACATCCAAGCCGAAGTTCTAGGTTATATCCATAGATGGTCCTTGGTTGAGTGTCAGTCTCAGAAAAGACCCTGTGCCCAGATATATTTGGTCCTTGTAGAGCTCCAATCCTTTCCATATCATACTAACTTCCCTTCTTTCATATGATTCCCTGCACTCTGCCGAGGGTTTGGTTATGAGTCTTAGTGTCTGCTTTGAAACACTGCTAGGTAGAGTCTTTCAGATGCCTTTTGTGGGAGACCCCTGTCATACATTCAATGCACATCCCATTTGTCTTTCTAAATGAGGATTAATCACCTTCGCCTGTGTCCACTTTCTTGATTGTCTTCTTTAGGTGTGTAGATTTCATTATGTTTATCATGTCTTGTAGGTCTATATAAGCGAGTATATACCAAGTTTGTCTTTCTCCTTCTGGGATACTTCGCTCAGAATGATCTTTTCTAGATCCCACCACTTGCCTGCAAATTTCATGATTTCCTCCTTTTTGATTGCTGAGTAGTATTCCATTGTGTAAAAATACCACAATTTCTGTATCCATTCCTCCGTTGATGGACATCTGGGTTGTTTCCAAGTTCTGGCTATTACAAATAAAGCTGCTACGAACATGGTTGAACAAATGTCCTTGTTGTGTACTTGAGCAAATTTTGGGTATATACCTAGGAGTGGTATAGCTGGGTCTTGAGGTAGCACTACTCCTAGTTGTTTGAGAACGCGCCAGATTGACTTCCAAAGTGGTTGAACCAGTTTACATTCCCACCAGCAGTGGAGAAGGGTTCCCTTTTCTCCACAACCTCTCCAGCATGTGCTATCACTTGAGTTTTTCATCTTGGCCATTCTGATGGGTGTAAGGTGAAATCTCAGGGTCGTTTTGATTTGCATTTCCCTAATGGCTAATGAGGTTGAGCATTTCTTTAAGTGTTTCTCTGCCATTCGATGTTCCTCTTTCGAGAATTCTCTGTTTAGCTCTGTTCCCCATTTTTTAAGTGGATTACTTGGTTTGTTGCTTTTCTGCTTCTTTAGTTCTTTATATATACTGGATATTAGCCCTCTGTCAGATAAAGGGTTGGTGAAGATTCTTTCCCAATCTGTAGGCTGTCTATTTGTTTTGATGACAGTGTCTTTTGCTTTACAGAAGCTTTTCAGTTTCATGAGGTCCCATTTATTGATTGTTGCTCTTAGAGCCTGTGCTGTTGGTGTTCTGTTCAGGAAGTTGTCTCCTGTGCCAATGAGTTCTAGGATGTTTCCCACTTTTTTTTTCCAACTGATTTAGAGTATCTGGTTTTATGTTGAGGTCCTTGATCCACTTGGAATTTAGTTTTGTGCAGGGTGATAAATATGGATCTATTTTCATTTTTCTGCATGTGGACATCCAGTTGGTCCAGCACCATTTGTTGAAGATGCTGTCTTTTTTCCATTGAATGGATTTGGCTTCTTTGTCAAATATTGAGTATTCATAGGTGTGTGGGTTTATTTCTGGGTCTTCTATGTGATTCCATTGATCCTCCTTTCTGTTTCTATGCCAATACCATGCAGTTTTTATTACTGTTGCCCTGTAGTACAGCTTGAGATCGGGAATGGAGATACCTCCAGATGATCTGTTGTTGTACAGGATCGTTTTGGAGATTCTGGGTGTTTTGTTTCTCCAGATGAAGCTGAGAATCTTTTTCTCAAGGTCTGTAAAGAATTGAGTTGGTATTTTGATGGGAATTGCATTGAATCTGTAGATTGCTTTTGGCAGGATGGCCATTTTCACAATGTTAATCCTACCAATCCATGAGCACGGGAGATCTTTCCATCTTCTGAGATCTTCTTCAATTTCTTTCTTCAAAGACTTGAAGTTTTTCTCAAACAGGTCTTTCACTTGCTTGGTTAGAGTCACACCAAGGTACTTTATGTTATTAGTGGCTATTGTGAAGGGTGTTGTTTCCCTAATTTCTTTCTCAGCCTTTTTGTCTTTGGTATACAAGAGGGCTTCTGATTTTTTTGAATTAATTTTGTATCTTGCCACTTTGCTGAAGGTGTTTATCAGCTGAAGAAGTTCTCTGGTTGAATCTTTGGGGTTGCTCATGTATACTATCATATCATCTGCAAATAGTGACACTTTGACCTCTTCCTTTCTGATTTGTATCCCCTTGATCTCCTTTAGTTGTCTTATTGCTCTGGCTAGGACTTCAAGTACAATGTTGAAGAGATATGGAGAGAGTGGGCAGCCTTGTCTTGTCCCTGATTTCAGTGGGATTGATTTAAGTTTCTCTCCATTGAGTTTGATGTTGGCTATAGGCTTGCTGTATATTGCCTTTACTATCTTTAGGTATGTGCCTTGTATCCCTGATCTCTCCAAGACTTTAAACATAAATGGGTGTTGGACTTTGTCAAATGCTTTTTCAGC